GAACTCAGTCACAAGGCTTGCATTCTCGTGATATTTTACGTAATCCTTTTTTACGCGCGAGCCGAGTGTCCACATTATGTCAGCTTGTACTCTGCAAGAGCTACAGCAGCAGTGGAACTGTTGCTTGTACATGATGTGCTTACCATTTGGTGATTCACCAAATGGTAAGCACATCATGTACAAGTATCAAAACGTGGAACAGACTCCGCTCCCACATGATCTGTCGCCAAACGTATAATAAAAGCTGCAGTTGCAAGCGTCTTACCTCGTTGCTCAGAAAGTATGCGTTTTCTCCGTTGTTGTTAAGGGATTTGGGTTCAGCTCACCTTACGAGATTCACCTGAGTAAATTATAACTGCTCCCTCTCCCAGCATTTTAGGAGCCCAAATATATTCGTTCAATAGATGTTACGTTCTTCATCATTTGTGGGAGTGTCTTCAAAGTTGGGACGGAACAACAGGAAAACGGAGGGGACACATGTACTCTGGACTGCTAATTGCGTGCAGCCCGTGAGCTGGCTTTTCTCACCCATGCATCCCCCAGAAATAGAATATAAGTCGCAGAGAGCAGCACTCAAGTATCTGCAAGGCTGATCACAAGCGTTCAGTGACTGTGACCTTGTTAGTGGCCAAGTGTAGAATGCTCGTCGCGACGGTGATATAACGTAACTTACCACAGTGAAGCAAACATGCCAAAATAACTGTAAAGAATAATCATCCTCATGCTAGTAATCGATAAGCGGCAGCCCGAAGCTTGGGGTCCTTTAGTAGTTCAAAAAAGGCTTTGGAGCAGAATCATACGCTTAGCAAGGCCTCACCGGCGTTTTTCATGAAAATACAGTCAGTTGGTACGGAGCCTGAGTCCTCACTGTAAATGGTTAAAAAGTGCGGCAGATGCACTTCATGACAGTGTAATGCAGTTGGTGAACTCCTTTGGTGGTATTGCTACCACCAAAGGGGTTCACCAACTGCCTGTCCTACGCACTTACATTTTACAATGAAAGGACTAGCGCCATACAGCCGATGCCCCACAACACCTGCAGATCTTCTACTGGCTAGGCCTAACCCAAGCGTCACCAAAACCTGCGTTTACGTGTTGAAACAACGGTAAGAATAAAAGTCCACGCGGTGGAATGCAATACGACGCCACACCGGTTGCATCTTAAGTGCGTGGTTGCTTGAAGGCAGACTACATTTTTCCCCCTTAGTTCCTCTTTTCTGCATTGATCAAGGCTTAAATGCACTTCCGTTTTGTTTCTGAGGCGACAGGACACAAATATATCCACAGTTTGTGTTAGCAGTGTCAGCACCGTGCGTGGTTGCTAAGCGTGACTGGAGCTTGCTGTTCATGATTCATGTGGATATGTTGTGCTTTTCAAGAAGGTTAATACAATGCAGTATGACACTAAACCCGAATTGCCTGCCTAGCCGAGAATGCAACCCAGATAGTCCGTTCGGAAATATGTATTCTACGAAAGGTATGTAGAACAGCTTCCGCCGTCGTGCTTGAGGCAGACCTACCAATGCTAACCCGCAAAGAGGGCCTTCTTCCAGAAGAAAGATGTCCACGCTTTGCTTTAGTCTTCCTTTAAAGATCAGCGCACAGCTGGCCTGTTTTTTTCTCCTGTGGTTGCGGAGCAAGCAACTCCTCACTGCAGCTAGAGCCCGAAAACCAGTCGTAAACTGTTCGATTGCCGACAACCTTCACACTTATACCGTCGGCTTTTGAATATGCAGCAGCTTTTGAGTGGTCACCCGACCCGGGGCCCATTTCTTCTAGCCGCAGGGATGACGGAACCCAACAACACAAGCATGGCAAGAACAGACGAACACAGGGAGCCGCCTCTACATTATATTCCGTCAATTCAGTGCATCTGCTTGTATTTCTTGGCGGGACTTTTATAATTTGTCCAAAACATGGCATTTTCGTCGAGGGGCATGTTTAAAGTAGAATTGGCGAAATAACGCAGATATTTCAAGCAGCTGTAGACGCATATCCTACCCTGGACAAATCTTAGATGTCGCCTTGCCTTTGGGCAGCGCCTTTAGCCATGTACGCATTCAACAGCAGTGAGAAACCAACTTGAACAAAAGCCCACTCTAATTTGCTCAACGAGTGCTTTTGCATGTTGTTCTCAAGTAAATGGATTGCGTTGCTTACCATTTTACTCCGTATACAACCAAGCCGGTACAAGACGCATATACAATTTGCGCAAGCAATGTCTGTATCCCACTACGGGAAACGTGAAGAAATCACACACCAGTACTTCTGACAACGCAGAAACTGCGAGAATTGACACCTCTTCTTAGCAACAACATCGTTCGTACGTAACAAAAGTCTCTTCGTTAGCGGAAAGCACGGGGAACTTGGCAACCGCAATATGGAAAAGACTTGATTTATTTGCATATGAGAACCGAAGACACCACGCAGGACATAAAAGTGCCGATCTGCGCAGTGAATACGCCACTGGCATGCAAGCGCCCATCAGCGCAGTGAATACGCCACTCAAAATCTACATGAAGTGCAGTCCCGGCACTGGCCTCGCTCTTATTAGATTCGATGCAGCAAGGTAGGAGTAAGGTTTCAAAAGGGCGCACACCCACACCGCACGAGCAGATAAGAGGGAATACATTATTTTGAATGTTTCAAGGAGGCCGTGTTCACACCACATTATTGAGCTTGAAGGGGTGAGTGATTCCAGGTAGGTGAGTCACGACTATGAGTAGACCTCAAGTCCAATGAAGTTTCGGGAACAAACGAACCCGATATAGTAGTTGTGCTGCGCCAATGAATTGCTGCCAATCCTTCTAACGCAAACTCTATGGCCTCCCAATGCACGCTATATACGTTTCACGAGCAGTTACAGGTCGCCCTGAACAGAAAGATAGAAACACTTTGGATGCAAAAGCTTTAGGTGCAATATCCTCTCGCCAAGGCATCCTGCTTTTTGAACACTGCTGTACTTATCTTAGATTCCAACTGCGCACGCGGCGAAACCGAAAACAAGGTTCATCCTGTCCGTGCAGAGGGTATATCTGCCCTTCAAAGTCTTCAGAGTCTTGCGTTTCAAGAATAACTATTTAGATTTTATTACCGGCCTGTCTCCTTCTATGAGTAGTAAAACTGACTTGAACTAAACGGGGAAGCGCTGTTCTGTGGCATGTCAAGAAGCGTCAACAACTCCGTTAGTCCACACCTCCCTCACCTAATGAAGAACATCAAGGAGATGTACTAGACACATCTAATTTCACAAGTTCAAGGTGGCCCTTTTCCTCAATTGAATGATATGCTTTGCCAGAAATCCCAGAAATACGGGGAGGTCGCCTTAAGAATCGTGTCGGACTCACCTTTACTGTTCGTTCGGGGTCACTAATATTCACACTACTAGAACTCCCAGTATAAAGTGAGTGGCAGCTGAGTAGCTCGCTGCGGATAAAATATAGGAAAGAAGGCTTTTTACTGTAGGGCAAACAATGTGCCGCAAGCACCACGCACGCAGCCAAGGCGGAACCTTGCATTTTTCGCAGTGCAAAGGCAATAGCGGAGAATAAGGAGGTAGCTGGGAAACAGAACTTCAAGGGACCATCTGCCCCCCTTCAGCCTCATGCACAGCGAGGTCAAGCAAAGTAAGAAAATACCAAGTGGTAAATGGGATAGAAAAGCATGGCAGTTGTTTCTCTCAGTTTTCTGACACGGCATACTTTTAAAGACTCCAGAGAACCCTCACCGTCTGACCTTTGCTCGTAAACGTAAAGCTTGTCTTCGCTTGTCTTCAACATCGCGGCAACAACTTACTTAACCAATCTCCTTCGGTTTGGTCCCCAGCACTACGCTATCGCATAGTGCTGGAGCCCTATTAGGGTAGCTCGCAGAAGCTGGCTGTACAAGTAGGTTGGATTTGGTTCTTTGGCACGACGTAGTTCACACATGCACTCTAGGAACAATGCTGTTTGCCTCTACATAAACTTGTGCGCCCTGCTCAACAATGTTGGGATGACTTCATACTGTTTTCACTAAGCTGAGCTGACCGCGCAGCCACAACAGCAAGAATAAGTTCACGAGACCCCTCCAGCAAGGTTATACCGATTTCGTGAGGTCAGCGTTGACAGCCCATAAGCTGCGTTTGTTCTTTACTTGCACACAAACACGGCGGCGGGCTCTCAGGTGGTTTTTGAGCGGCCTGACCAAGCACAGGAAAATATGATGCGCCTGTTTCACTGTGCAAAAGATTTGCAGAAACTACTGAGCAGATATCGCCCATCACATGTGACCACTGGTGTTGGTTGGGGTCTTGCCTGTGGTACGTCGTGCAGTTTCAGACGCCAATGGACGCTGACGACGCAGTTGAGGTCCTCATTTGCAGAATCGGCCTTCAGTGCCTCTCCATTTTGCACCAATTTATAGGCAGCTGCAATTCTCACTCAAATATTGGTCCTTTCAGCTGCCTGCACACCAGACATCTCTTCGAGGGACGGCAGTGCCGCGAGACTGTCGGCAGCTGTCCGCTGCGGTCGTCGTTGCGCTGCGGGCAGGTCCAGGGCTCCACTGTTTGCTGCCCCTCATGAAAATAATAAGAAATACTTATCAATTTACATGCACATTTTGAATGTTTTTTGTCATCACGCGAATCCATAAGACAGCAGCACGTGCAGCTGCAACTCTGGACGGCAGTAAGGTCCCATCTCTGGCGGCGGTCACCACTGAGGCGCCATTGACCAGGACCAAAGGGGGCCCTAGACTCATTAATTCCTCAGCTAAACTCTGAATGCACTTACTTTCTCGGTAAATTTTAAGAGGCCTACTAGATCGAGGATATAAAAGGGCATGAACCGACACCGCCGAGGCCCATGCCCGTTGAGCGGCTGACGACCACGGCTACAGTGAAGTAGCAGCAAAACAAGCCACAACACCAGCAAAAGCAACGGCGAAAACAGGCAGCTGACACTTAATACAGCTAAGCAAGGCATGCTTGGCTGCCTTATTGCATTCATGTGCTCAGCATGACAACTCATCTACAGGGCCGCTCCTCATGGGGCCCCGAGACCATCTCCCGCTGCCTCAGCAGCATCAGCAGCTTTGGTCACAGCAACTCGAACGACAACAGTAGCAGCAGCAGCAGGAGGAGCAGCAAGCCTGAGCCGGAAGCTATCGAACTACACGAGTGGAAAACCTCGACATCAAGGAGGCCCTCCGTTTGCAACAGCGAGACTAGCACCAAGCAGAGACAAAATGAAGCAGATAAATCTACTGCCCCTAGAGCGAACGCATCACCGGCTTCCAGCCACGGTGGCGTTGTCCGGTGGCTTGGGCACAAGGGCAGCACCTTTTGGGGATCCCTTTTTCTTCTGTTGCTGCTGGGCGTTTGCTCCCCATTTGCAACAGAAGCCACAGCGCCAACTTCTCAAGAGCCAATTCTGGATCAATACGTGTCAAATCAAGAATGGCAACACAGTAGGGACCGTTTTGACGGATGGAAGGCTCCCCCACGCCGCCTCAACACCGTTGCCGCTTGGGCCGCCGAAGTCGAGTCTTCCTTGCGAATAAGTCCGCAGCTCAGCCTCTACCTCGGGGTCTTCCTCACTCTATCTGGCTCACTTCTTATGGCTGGGGGCAGCACTTTGATGAAGTTGGGCCTCAGTGTAGAAGATGCGGACGCTCTCAGCGGACAATCCTGCGACCAGCAATGGGTTTGGGGTTTTGCTGGTGAGGCCCCTGCTCTTATTCTTACTTCTATGTTGCCCCACGCCCTTGTTATTATTTTTATGCTGGGAAATGTTGTTTTCGATCCGCCACCACGGTGTCTGCACATCGAGTCCATGGTAACTTTAGCAAGTAAAATCCCAACAGCAACAGCTGCAACTGCTACGGCCCCAGCTACAGGCATGTCGCAGTTTCATAAAAAGCTGCATATTGCTCTTGTTGTGCATGTTTGTGCATTTAGCGTATGTGCTCGGTGCTTGCATGCACGTCGTCGCCTTGGGTTTCGCTCCCGCAAGTGTCTTGTCGCCCATGAACTCCATTGGTCTCATAGCCAACGCGGTGGCCTCAGCTGTAAGCCAGCACACAGCTAACTAGCCTGCTGCACAGATACCCAGCGCTATCTCTCCAAGGGAAAGTTTGTTCTGTGATAGTTTTTTCAAAGCTTGCTCCCTAGCGTTATTCACCTGTATATGACTGCCTCAGCTTCAAGGCTTTATGGGCTATGCGTTAACAAGTATTGCCGGCACATGTCTTTCCTGTTACGCCTCTGCGCATGCCTGCAGACAGTGTTAAAGGAGCCGTTTGGATTCCAAGAGCTATTGTTCACTGGAGGGTGCGCCTTCGGCGTCTTCCTTTGTGCGTGCGCCTCTGTGCTGCCTCGCACAGAGTTTGTCGATTTGGGTACAGACTTAGACAGCCGGTATGTGGGGCTATACAGCTGGCACGACCCTTGGTATTTGGCATTCCTGGGGCTCTGCTGTGGTCTCGGATTTGGAGCTCTCGTTTACCTAAACAGCGTTGAATCTGCGCTGCTGGAAGAGAAGGAACAGCAGCTGCTCAGACAAACTGACAGAGACATCGCATTGCTCGCTCCCCGTGGTCCCTCCGAACAGTAAGCCCCTTGAAGCTGCTTCCTCTCCTGTTGCTTTGACAAATCGAGTGTACTAGTGTCTGATATTCATTAGGGCATTAGGGCTTGGTGTTCTACAGAGACTACACGCAAAAGGACGCGGGACCCTCAACCATGCTGAGCCCCAGGAGCCAGACCAAGCAATCTCTTTACCCTCGTTTAGTCGGTATGCCTCTCCTCTCATTTCACAAAACCGGCACACCTAATGATTTCTAAATAGCTGCCGACTGCCGCAGGCTTCGGCTGAATACGAGTTACGACGGGAATCTCGAGTTGTTCGCTGTTTCACAGGTCTATGCTATGGGTTTCTGGCTGGCCTGGTCGGATCTCAGTGCATTTTAGAAGTGAAGGAGATCGGTACTTGCGTGCGTGTGAGTCGCTTCACCGTCTCATAGACTAAAAGCCCATCTTATGGCCTGCTGCATGCTTTTCAATTCAAAGGGATGGTGATGGCCGCAGCTCCTGGGGACGAACTCGTTGCGTCATGCGTTTCCACTGTGCAGTATGGCCTCACCCAGAGCTCCATCTGGTCTTCCCCGCAGCCGTACTTGGTCTGCTGTTTCCTGGGCCTTTCCGTTTGGATGCAGGTATGAAAGTGTCCAGATCTTTGCTAATTCGTAGATTACATCTCTCTTGTGGGCATTTCTGTGGGGTAGACTGCAACCACTAAACCGCTTACCTATGTAGCTGCAGTGTTTGCCTTTGCTTCCTGAAGATTCACTTTTTGAACTTGGGACTGGCCCGGGGAGACGCGACAACTATCGTTCCGACGTACTACGTCGTATGGACCTTCTTTGGAACTCTTGGTGGTAGGCCGTGTACCTTACTTATTAAGCCGTTTGTCAGTCTTGTAATTCTTCAGTATGCCTTGTCTATACATGCACTTTCCCATGTTGTACTGTAGATAAGCTTTCTTGATGCAATTGTTTCAGGGTTTGCAAAATTCCACGAGGTGCAGGGATTTAGTGCAAGCGCCCTCATTCTCTTTGGACTTGGATTCGGGCTCACGGCGATGTGCATTATTCTTCTAGCAGTGGAAGAGATGAGGAACTTGTGAGCTACAGAGACAAAGTGGTCCTCCCAAACTGGCCTGCCAGCAACCTTGTCGCCACCCAAGCTGTCCTGTTTCTTTCCAAAAACACGATTTACTTTGTGTGTCTCCTCAGACGCAAGTATGTCGACCAGCAGGTCCCAGGGATCGACGATGAAGAGGCAGATCTGGTAAGAAAACTCTCATGCGACAACTCGAGTGCTGACTACTTTGCCGATTTTTCGCATAAAAATAAGCAGTTTAGGGGGCGTCCAGCCCCTGGTAGCCCTCTCCTGCCGGATGACTCATCTGCTCCTTGGTATACCAAGGAACTAAAAAGCAAGTGCCAAATTTTCACTGCTCTCCAGGCATTCCTTCTTGAGCAGGAAATTTGTTCGTGCGTGAGCTTGTTTGTTGTGTACAAATGTCCGCCCCAGGCTGCTCAAGACCTTGTGGAGCAACGGCTTTCGAAAAGGGTCACCTTCGCCATGGGAATGTTCCCAATTTCATCTTTGGGGCGAACCGCAGGGCGGCGGCGCTTTCGCCCTGTATACCAAAGGTTCAGGCGAACCCGCTCTACGGCATCCGACACTGCTTTGGGGGATGCTTACGGGGAGCTTACCTTGGGAAGCACGTCTGTTGCAGGCGCTTACACATTGCCTCCCAACCTCCACTTCCCTCGGCGTAGCGCGGATGTAAGTCGCGCGCAACATGTCGGGTTAGTTGGGCAAACGAGGCATGGGACAGTAGATTTGAACAAAAGACTGCCACAGTGCACACAGCGCACACAAAGGCAGTGGATCCTTCCTTCATGAGCGGCTTTTCTGCTCCTTCGATCTCAAGACCAGAGAGAGCTTCTGCTTCGTGCTTAGATAGCTAAAAGCGTAGTTCACTTTTACAGAAGTCCTCAAGCCATGCTTGCACTGCGTACCCTATTGTGAACCCCGTGTTTCTTTGGGCCAGCGCTTAGTTAAGTTGCTTCTTTCTTTCTGGCTCTCTGTTCCCCAGCAGGGCTATTCTCAGCAAAATCGTGGTTCCGAGGAGAGGCAGGAACCGCAGGGGATCCCCCTACGGACGCTTAACGCGACATCTAGCAGCAGCAGCGTGAAAGGTCCAGACCCGCTCAATAGAGTGTCTTGGGGGTCCTCAGGCAGCCCAAAACAAAGCTCGCCGACTTCTGAAAAACAATCTCCGGAGCCCCATGTCATGTCTAAGGCGCCGGCGCACTATTTGATGCCTCCCTCTCTCCGGTCTTCACTTCAGTCCGATTGCAGCAGCAGCGGACTGCCAGACCAGGTATAAAAGACTTTTTCATTGCCACGGGGTATTTAGGGGAAAGTGTCTCGAAAGCCAGTGATCAGCAGCACTTCATATCCCTTATCATCGAAAAATGCAGACGAGCAACAGTGGCAATAACAGCACCACGCGTTCACTTGCAATCTGTCAGTTAAACTTAGTATCATGAGCATTTCAGTCGAGATTTGCCGCGCTGTGCTTGTCTGACGCTGTGCAGAGAGATCTTTACTTGGTGTGGTCTCCGCTTTCCGCCATGCAGCACCAGAAAGCAACACAGTACCAATAATGCTCAAGAAGTGCAAAACATATAGACATGCCATAAAGATTATTTTTGAGGTAGCTTTGGCGGCAAAAAAGCCCTTCAAAAAGCGCTGCTAAGCTTCTTCGTTGCCTTTCTGCAAACTCATAAGGCCTAAGTACTGGCTAGCGCTAGGAGTCTCTGCTGGCCACCCAGGCAAGGCGACTTGTGTCTCGTCAAGTGGATTGTGGCAGTCGACCGTCCCTTTATAGAAACCCGAGAGATTTTTAAACTGTGTCCTTTGTTGCTGCTGTGTTAGCAAGCGGCAGATACTGCTGGATAGCGGCGGCAGCAACTTGCGTAAAACGAGGCCCCAGAGGCCCTCTACGTACCCTAGAACACCACTGTGTACAGCGCCAACCACCGAATGTTCCCTCGCTACGCTGCTGCATCCGATGCAGCAGCAAGAGCAGCGAAATAAATGTATACGGGGAAACTTGCCACTGCAAACGGCTCCCTTTAAAGGCGCCAAAGAATGCGGCGGATGACCATTCCACATTTCGGGCAATGCAACTGGTGCTCTTCGTCACCTTCGAGGTACCCCCAGGAACCGGGACGATAATCCGGATGAGAGGCAACGCACCAGTAACAAAACACATGGGGGCATTTGTTACTACAGAATGGAAGCAGCGGTTCCTTGCTGCAGAACACACACTGCTGCTTTTGCTGCCGCTGTGGCGGCTTCTCTGGGATCACAGACACTGGGGTTGACGGTAATACCGGGGAGGGTGCTGCCGACGGCGGTAATTCTGCTGCTGTTGTTGCTTCCGCGATTGGACCAAACGGGGACACTGGAGACAATGTTGGCTTCAAAACCTCATTACTTGGCTCAGGGGACGTAAGCTGCGGAAAAAGCAAATGCAGGAAAGCAAACGGAGCACGTTTGTGGGCAACTTAACATTTGCTGTATACTACTGTTGAGAGAAAATGGCAACTCGTAAAAATACACACAGACTCAGCTAGTTGCAGGGTGGCAATGCGCAAAGGATAGACAGTGCCACTTCACGGACAAACCAATGGACTGCGCATCGGAATTCAAGAGCGGCAAAGTATGAAACAAGCAAGACAGGCAAGCGAGGAGCCAACAGTGCATGGGGGGAGCAAAAGTTGACTTGCTCTTGTTGTTCCTGCCCTTTACAAGGGCAGGCACAGTAGCTTTCAAAAGCATGCACAACCAATGCAATAACGGACGCAAAAGCATGAAGCCACACACAGCCTCTCCGCGTATGAAGCAACAATCCGCTGTTCACGAGAACAGGATCCTGACAACTTACTGTTTGTTCAACTGCCTCTTTCTGTTGCTTCTCTTCCTGTTGCACCTGCTGCTCTTGTCGCTGTTGCTCTTGCGTTACAAGGGGATGTGGCAGCAGCCCCACGTTCTGCAAAGCCGCGGTCAACTGCTGTTTTGTGCTCCGCAGCAGGAGCAAGCACCACTGGCCGATGCCCAAAGGCGGCAAATCAGCAGCATCAGTAGCAGCTTGTGCGTTGGGCATTTCAGGGCCTTGCTGCTGTTCCAGCAGCTGCTGCTGCTGCTTGCGAAGAAGCTGCTTAAGCTGCTGGAGAGAAGCCACTGCGGCCGCGCGGGCTGGAGACAACACGTGCTGCCCAAGCGTGCGCCGCAGCAGCAAGAGGTCAATGTGGGGTACCACCAGCAGCAGCACGTGAGAGACACTGAGCCAGTAGAGCTGCTGCTGAAGCAGCTCGAAAGAAAGCGAACGCCGCAGCGAAGGATGTATGTGCCGCATCTCCACCCCTAGCAGCCAGTCCCCCAAGCTGCGGTGTCTGCCTTTGTAAAGAAAATAAAAAAAGAAGCAAAAACGCAAAAAGGACAGCAGCAAGTCAACTACCATGCAGCACCTGTACAGACACTCCAAAGACTGCTCCGCTGGCGTCAGGCGAGTCACGGCCGCACCAGCAGCAGCATCCAGCAACCTGGACAGCTGCAGCTGCTGTTGCATTTCCCATTGCTGCTGCTCTGTGGCTTGCTGCTTCTGCTGCTGCTTCTTCTGCTGCAGCTGTTGCTGCTGCATGCGCTGCCGACGGAGTGCCTGAGCAACGTTGAAACGCCGGATCCTTTGCTCTATTGCTGCTTGCTGCTGCTGCCTCTTGCGGTGCAGCAGCTGCCGCACTAGCTGGTACAGATATGGCAGCAGCACGTGCAGCAGCAGCAACCCCAATTTGTGTCCCCAGGGCAGGGGCTGCTGTTGCAGCAGCGAATGCTGCTGCTTCATCATCATATGTAGCAGGACGCGCTGCTGTTGCTGCACCGCAGCGGGAGCAGCTGTAGGGTCTTGCTGCATCTCCTGCAGCCGCTGCTGCTGCCGTTGCAGCTCCTGCTGCTGCAGCTGTTCACCGCCATAGTACTTGACATTTTGAAGCAAATCCCCCGGAGTAGGCCTGTCTCTCGCCGTAGACACACTCCAAAGAAAAATGTTAAGAAGCAGTTTGAGCTCCTGCTGCCACTGCTGCAGTCGTGGCATGGCAGCCCGCGTACACTGCAGCAGAAGGTCCTGCAGCAGCAGAACAATTTCGTTATCAACTCTGAGTGCATCCAGCTGATTGACTCTCTGGGTGGGCATTGTTGGAGAGGCTTCTTGGGGGGCGCTTTCAACTCCCCGAGGCAGCAGCCTGCGGCCCACAGCAGCTGCCGCTTCAGCTAAAGTTGTGTGCCCAGTTGCTGCTACTGCTGCTGCGCCAGCAGCAGCAGCAGCAGCTGTAAACGCCCCACGTTGCCTCCCGAGAGGCAGATGCCCGCCAGATGAGCCCTGGGTATTCCCTGAGTCCCCGCTTGAGTCTGTCTCTGCTGTTCCCCCACTGGAACTGCCCAAGGGGGCCCCATGGGTGGCCCCAACAGGGCCAGAGAGGGCCCCCTGATGCATGTCAGCGGCTGTCTTCCTTCTTCGCGCTACGTTTTTGAGAAAGAGAAATTCCTTGGGCTGCCGCAGACGGCCAAATGGCCTCAATAGCTCGCCTCTCCACAGAGGACTCACCACGAGACGCGGCAAGGGAGCGCTCGGGAGGCTTCTTGAGGTATCCTCTTCACGGGGGTTACACAAAAGACCATTTCTGGGGGCCTCTGGGGGGGCCCCGGCCTCCTGTGGGGGAACAGACTCGGGAGATGGGGCCCTCATAAGCGTGCTGGAGGGGCCCCCTGAGGAAGCGAAAGAAGTTGGACTTGACATTGGGAGCACCAACGACAAGACCCCGACAAGTGTACAGACACTGCGTTAGAGGCCAGCTGCCACGAAGACCCCAAAATATTCAATGGGTGGAGGACCCAAGTTGGGCTGGGGTGGGAAGGCCCCTTTTTTCTTTCCAGTCTGTTCACGTTTCTGAGTGGTAAAACTCACGGTGCTGCTGCTTACGCTGTGGAGTCTGCTCCTCATGCTGCTGCATCGTCACCTTTGCTTTTGCTGCTGCTGCTGCTGCGTAAACCGGCTCTTCTTCTGCCGTCGGCGCCGCACTGAGACCATCAGAAAGCCCTATAATGAGGGTCTGAAAGGCAACTTCCGTCTATTTCGACCTCCTCGAGAGAAGGGGAGTGCGCCTTCCGTGGAGGCCCTCCTCAGAGCTCACGGAGAGTGGCTACTTAGAAAAGCTCCGTACCACTTTTGTCAATACCTATTTTGCCAAGTATTTCACTGCCTGTACATGCAAATTTCACAAAAGGGAACAGCTGCGCTTTAAACAGCATGCCAACACATCTAGGGCCCCTGCGACTCATGCCAGCGATCGAGACAGGGGGCCCCACGAGGCCGCTGCGCCCGTTTTCAAGTGCTCTTAGCCAACATAAATAGCAGAATAATTTCAAATGAAGTATGCATTATAACATTGGGCAACTACGCCGCTACGCATGAAGACAGCATGGCGAACGGTCGTGATGCCGCTTCCGCTGCTGCCGAAAGAACAAGTGTGGTTAGCTTGTTGTCTCAGTTCTCCTGAAGATTCGAAGCTCTTTGGAAGCACCATGGCAGGCCAGGGCCAGTCACACTTTGAGCTCTAGCCGCACCTGCTGCTCCACGCGGAGAGCCAGCAGCGCAAGTTGCAGCACATTCGCAGCAGCAGCAGCACCAGCAGCAGCGAACATTGAGGCAGCAGCAAAAAACATCCCCCTGCACTCCCGGACAATGACTGCAGGGAAATGCCCGTTTGCTGCCGTCTCGGGCTGCTGCAGATCTTGACTCTTGGCAGCTTGTTGTATTGCTGCTGCTGCTTCAGCCTGCCACAGTTCAAGCTTGACAGATCTGTGGCAGCAACAGCATCAGCCAAAACAGCACAAGTAAGCACAACAGGTGCTGCTCAGCAGCGCAGCAGCTGCGGCGAAGATAGGGTCACTCTAGTGGAATGGTTCAGACCTAATGGCGGCTCGCAGCAGAAGGAAGAACAGCAGCAGCAGCTGCAGCATGCGCAGCACCTGGCTCATCAGCAGAATGTTACTGCACCAGAGCAGCAGCGGCAGGAGTGGAAGCAACAACAGGGTTGGCGCAAACAGCAGCAGCAGTTACGCGGCCTAGACAGTTCAGAGGTTCGTTCATTGCTGCTGCAGTGCAGATCAGTTCTGTCTTTTGATTTGGGGTCGCAAAAGACAGGTGTTGCTATTGCAGAGCGAAATTTGCACTCCAGGCATCTTTTTGCTGCTGCTGTCTCTGCACAGCAGCAGTTGCAGCAGCAACAGCACTCGCTGCTGCAGCACGAGGCCGCAGCAGCACATGAGCCCCTGTTGTGGCCTGCAGACTACTCAGGGCTTTATTCAACTGTTTCGCTTATGTTTTTGTCCCATGAAAGAAGCTTTGCGTCGCTGTTGCCGTTGCTGCTGCAGCAGCAACAACAGCAGCAAGCAGACTTGCTGCTTTTGGGGTTACCCCTAAATCCTTGTCTTCCTCCACACCTCCGGTAGGTTAGATCTACTGTGCATCAGCTGCTGCTGCTGCTTCTGTCTTGGCTTCTCTCCTCGCTGCAGTCGTTGCAGCAGCTTTGCTGTCGTCACTGCTACTGCTGCGATTTTCTTGTTATGCTGTTGCTGCTGCTGCTGCTGCTGCTGTTCATTTGCGCAGCTTCCAGACTTCTCGGGTGCAGCGCCACCTGTCAGTGGCGCGTGAGCTGCAGTGCAGACTAACAGCAGCAGCAGCACAAGAAGGAGCAGCGGCGGCAGCAGCGGTCCCTGTGCTACTTGTTGATGAGAGCTATAGCACGTGGAGGGCCAGAAAGAGACACAAATGTGAGAAACGCAAGGGGCCTCCAAGGAGCCGCCTTGACTCTGCTGCTGCATGCGAGATGCTGCAAGAGCTGCTTGCTGCAGCAGCTTCCACAGCGGGCCCCACACGTGTACTGCAGCTGCGAGCTCCTAGAGAGTTCACTCGTCAAAAGCAGAATGACCCTTTGCTGCAAATGGAAGCCCCTGAGAGCAGCGAGCCTTCCACGTAGCAACTAAAGGCTTACGGATGTGTTCTTGTATTTGTTTGATTGAGAAGAACTTCGTTTTTTGGCAAACCTTGTCAATCGCTCCAGCCAGATTCATGTCTTCGCACTTATCATTGGATGCACTGACTTCTTTACAATAAGCAAAGGCGGATGTATTTCCGCCTTTTTAGGCGTGCATGCCGTGCTGGGTACAAGTCACGATGCTGTAGCAGCTACGAGGACCGAGTTGGGACCTTGGGTACATAAGTTTGCCTGAGAGCATGCGTGTTTGCTCCCCTGCAAAAGATGCTTGCATTATGAATATATTCAGCTACCAGTAGCCACACAGACACTAGCAGAAGCTCCTCTTCAGGGATCGTTTGTAGACAGGAGTGGACACAATCGAGGACACAGAAAACAACAGAGATGGCACAGTAGAGACAAATAAAGGAAGAGTACACGAGCGTGTTGAAGGATTGAATGAAATTGGGAAGGGGCCAACGACCCTCTGGAAAAGGGATGCATGAAGAAGAACTGGGGTTGCGGTACGAAGCAAGGAACTTGAGGAAAAGCCATTGGAGTTTTTAATCTAATTGAAAAGCGTGAATACACACACATGCACACAAGCGTGTGGCTGTACACGCACATTCCTAGACTGTGCACACCCACGAAGCTGAAAAAATGCTGCCACATTGGTACTGTTTAGGCTGCCTATAATTTCGCTCATGAACGCACTCTGCATGTGACCGAGGTCTATGAATAAAGACCTCTATGTAGGGCGGTGTGTTTATCGCTGTTGAGATGCACTGGTAGTGCATGTATTTAGATAAAATACCACGCTTACGGAGCTGTGGTCTTGCCACGACAGCACCGGTGGGCGACCCTTATGTAGATGAACGAGAAGCGTACGTGCATTTGTGAATTAAATGACTGCGCTGTGTCGACCAGTGCAATGGAAAGCGAACTACTACAATACAGGCACCATAAAGAAACTGTTGTACATCGATTTCATGCCACCATAATAGCGCACGCTTGCTTGAGATTCATGCATGCAGACAAAAGAACGAACTCTAGTCAGGCAAAAAAGAAACTCCAATATCAAGGCTCTTCTAGTGACATGCCTGTATGTACCAGAAACCCACCAAACGAATTCTGCGTAGCAGAGTGTCGGCCGCGGGTTCCGTAGCTCAGCAGGTTAGAGCGTGTGGCTGTTAACCACAAGGTCGCAGGTTCGATCCCTGCCGGTACCGTCCCTTTGGTTTGTCATGTCATTCCTGTGTAGCAGCTTTACTTGAGCTATCATAAAATGACTGCAACGTAAGCTTCGCGTCCTTTGTCGAGCGGCCACTCACGGAATAGCCAATACTGTTGTTCTCTCTCAGGTGAACAGTAATAATTAACACAGGAGGAAGCTATTGAGATACTGCATCGGTTTGTACGCGGTGGGGCTTCAGTGTGCATTGACCGACTTCAGTGGTACCTCTTTGTGCATTGTCATACAGGTTGTGCCAAGAGCTTCGTCGGTGTTCAACAGTAGCTAACTGCATTTGCGCAGTTGCGAAGATGTAAATTCTGTTAGGGAGGCAAATGCGCGGTACCGGCAGGGTTCGAACCTGCGACCTTGTGGTTAACAGCCACACGCTCTAACCTGCTGAGCTACGGAACCGACGGCCGCGCCTTCAAAACGCAGCAATGCAACAAAGGGAAACAGCAAATGTGGAATCAGCTTCACCAATCATGACTGTCGCGAAAGCAGGTGTAGCTGGATGGAGCACAGATTGTAAGCAAATTGGTGCTCAGGGCTCATATTTGATGCAAAGGCATCACTTCCTGCCTCTTGTCTTTTACTTCCGAGCTGCTCTTGCAGAAGGATATGCATTAGAAAATTGCAGGCATACAGAGAATTAAGTTCACGGCACAAGCCTTCTGAACGCCATGAGGATGCAAAATGCTAGTGTACTGGGAGCGACATATTTTGGAGTAGGAATTTTTTCCCGATGCACCTTTTAATGAAGTGAAAAAGTGAACAGCAGCTCTGTTGTTGCTTTTCCGCATAGTTTCTGTAGTATTGTCCCAGATCACTTCATCCAAGGCGTTTATACACAGGGCTGGGCTTCTCAAGATGCCACTGGCGAAACTGAACTTCCAATTTTGGGTCTTGAATGATATCGGTTTTATTACTGATTGCTAGTTTGCCTTCTTATAAGCAATCCCGTAAGTCTAGTCAATTCTTCTTTCTTCAGGTCCTGCGGAGCAGCCTTCATTTCCTTCTTTGCGTGTTGGCTGCTGCACTGTTCTCGTTTATTGTTAGTAGGTCTCTGTTCTGTGTCCTTATTTCAATTGCTGCGTGTTCAAAAGGTTTAGTTCGTGCCTGACTCTGTTCTCTGCCCCTGTCAAGCACCCCGTCGAAGCGTCAAAGCCTTTTCACTTCTCCTTTAACTTCTCAGCAGAGTTGTAACGCAAATCATATTCTCTGGTGTTCTAAGCCACTGTGTGGGGCTGTCTCAGCTAGGGCTCGCTCTGTTACGCTTCGTTACCAGAGGTTGGGTTCCTGTAGCAGATCCGAGAATTTTCGGGAACCTTGGGTGTGGCTTTTCCAGTGCAAAAACCTGTGTTCGCCTGGATGACTACTTGTTCCTAGGCGCCACCCTATACAAATAGCCGACCAGTTTGTGTGCTGCAGTGTTATCTAAAGGAGAAGAGTGCGCATTGCCATAATTACACTAGTCACAAAAATACTAAACTTGCGAGGTATCTGTCGGTCTCGCAGTATGAATCGTTATGCTCTGACTTCAATACCCAGGTACAGTTTCTCTTCAATGCCGCTAAAGATGCCTAGATCATGAGAGGGCGGTGCCCATTGATGTCCAGTACAGCCCTAGAGCATGCAGCGAGGCGTCCTTGTGGCTAAAAGTTACCCATCTCAGCTTCAGGAGATTTGCTTTCTCTCTGCAACTGAAGGCAGTCGCATAGAACCCTTCTACGCTGCTTGTTAGCAGAGTTTCGAGGGAAAGTAGTTGTGGGAAGTGTCTAGCTGTCTGCCTAAATCCCCCGGCGCGGCAACCCAGCACAGCTTTGCCTTTGCATGACCATTACATATCAATGCGACCACTGCATGCTGCCTCTAAAGTTGAACAACTGTAGACGATGCGTCACACCAGCACAGGAGGGCGACCCCATCGGCTCTACGGAGATACATGGTTTTAGGTGCTCCATTTCTGAACAGAGGCGGCGAGGAAGCCCGGGGAAAGGCAGCAATAATAGGATTATCTGGGGGGCGGCTGCTTGTGAGGCCGCTTGCTAATTTATGCAGCTTACGTAGATTTGAAGCGAAGTCCCCGTGCATCCTAACATACTGCTGACCTTCCCTGCTTAGGAGGGGCTCTTACGCAAACTTGGTAGAACTGGGATTTTTTTAGGCCCTAAAAGTGCTTTTTATATTTGATTTGATTTATTTTCAATGATTACACTCTTTCAAGAGCAAGTCCTAGTGGAATATCTCGTGCTCGTCCGTCGATGGTTTTACAGGCGCTCACGACTCGCCACCTGCAGCCGACACGCGACCCCCCTACAACGAAAGCAAGCTTGGGTACATTCGAAGAAGTTAACATCTCTTTTTATTGAATTCCTATGATTAAAAGAGTCAGGAAAAGCAATAACAAGCCTTAATGCGCAAAGGGGAAAGCTGGCTCGAGAGTTGCCTCGCCTCGCTGGCCAGTGGCTCTTCGTAGCGAGCCAGCCAACAGAGGCTGAGCGGCTGACCCTCTCAGCGCCCACCTGACGCATAGCCCTAAATGAATACTGGGAACAAGCTTATTTAGTCCACACTCGTCTAAATAAGAAAGTGCATCATATTGCTGTTCCTCTTTTCTTTCTCACTTCGCGGTTCTCCTGCATAGAACAGGAGCGGCCACTGACCAACGGACGGCGGCAGAGCCACCGCTGCTTGCGTTGTTTCCGGTGTTTGAATCGAGACAATCGCCTGTTATCTTTGGCTTTAAAACTGATTAAAACTTCATCTCTGACCCCGTTGTCGTCGCTGCATCTGGCGCCATGGGCTGCAAGCCATCCACTCTCGGGCCTCACGCCCGAGACAGCGCAGGTGCCCCTGCTGCTGGTCCCGCCATCGCAGATCCTTCCGCAGGAGCTCCCGCTGCTGCTGGCGGTGCTTCAGAGCAACATTTGCGAAGCAGCGCGAGCGGGAGCCTTGGAAGGGGGAGCCTGCGTCTGCGGCTGGCCTCCCTTAAGAACGACATGAAGGGCTTCGGCTCGCCACGCCAGACTCTCGCCAACAGCTACGACAAGCTGAAGCGAGGCGCCTCTTCTTTGCGGCAAGCGATAACCCCCCGCACCACTCCGGGAGTCAGTCCGAGAGATGAAGTGACCCTGGAGGGCCCGGGAGGCTCCCACTCCATAGCCAGCGACGCCATCAAAGAGGCCGACAACACAGCCTGCTTGGATGTGGCTGAGACCAAAAGCCAGGCCGTCAGCGGCACTATGCACACGGCCATGGCCATGGACGGCGCGGCCGAGAGGCGGCAGGACGGCGGCGCCCCGGGCACGGAGTTGCAGGCCGTGGAAGTCATCAACAGAGAACTTCCATCTCCGCAACAGCTCAAGGCTTTGTGGATTCTTATGAAAATCAACGCTGCAGAGGCTCCTCAGCAATCCATGCAGTGGCTCCACGACCTCGAAGTCCTCCTCGTCGGACTGGACCCCGTCGAAAGGCAACAACCCGTGAGTGCCAACAGAGTGGCTCATAAAGTTTTTGTTGCAGCTTTCTGGTGGTGGTAGTAAACAGGTATACTTGCTGTGATTTCAAAGCGTTTTGGTCTTACACTCAACACTATGCCTCCTCTCCTCTGTCCCACTTCTCATTTTCGCGATGTTGCTTCTAACTCTCAGTGTCTGCAGTTTCTCTCTGTGTTGTCTTTGAGTGTGTTGTCTAGAAACAAATGGAAATAGCAGCTTGAAAAGCGTAAGCTTTTCAAGCTGCTATTTCCATTTGTTTCTGGTGAATTGCTCACCGGTTTGGCTATTGTTGCATCTCTGCTGCTGCTACTTGTTGTGCGTATTTGTTTCTCCGAGAGAATGTTTATTGTTTCGCTTGCCTGTTAGATTGTCTCGCCATTGTTCTTCTAGGCTTTATGAAATACCTCTTTTTTGTTCTTTCTTGCACGGCTATTTGCGTGGCTGTTGGCAGTTGCCCCTGGAAGCACTTGCTTAGAAGTACTCCGGTTTGTTTGGTCACTCAACTCCTTTTTTGGTCTTTTTCCTTAATGGCTTCAGACTCGAAACATCTTGGTGGAGGCGAAGGCACTTGAGATTTGTCTCAAGCCGCTCGCGAACTCTCCCGAAGAGGTCCAACTTTGTGTCTCTTCTCTTGCCATCATTGTCCACCTTTGCATGGCCAAAGAGGCCTCTGAAAGGCTTCTCCAGCTGGGGGTAAGTGCATGCACCCCATCAAATAGCTTTTGCACCTTTTGGCCTGAATCAATTGGAGCAACAGCTAATATAGCTAGATAGCCATAACGCAGCTGCAACAACAGAGAGACGCTTTCGAAGATCACTTAATTCCTTTTTTCGTGATAAACCTTTTACCTTTTTCAGGGCATTGACATCACGGCCAAAGTTCTGAAGAAATATTTCTCAAAAGCGAAGAAACTGCTGAGAGATATACCCCTGATGCATGTGCCACCACAAGAGATCCTTCGCTTGGCAGCACTGGAACAGCAGCCCCAGCAGCACGAGCAGCAGCACGAACACCCGCAGCAGCCCCAGCAGCTGCTGCAGCACCAGCAGCATCCTCAGCAGTGGACTGACCTTACTGAGCCTCCCACACCTGCGCCAACGCCTGAAGGAGTTGTAGGAGAAACTTCAAATCCCCAAAACGGACCCTCATCACCTCAGCAGCCTCCCATTTTGAAGGGTGCAGCAGCAGCAGCAGAAGCAGTGAACTCAGCCCCAAGAGAAAGCCAGCCAGCAATAGCAGAAACGCCTCTGCCCACCGCTACTCCCCATACTACTCCTGTGGACCAAACTTTAAGCAAAAGCGATACGCCAACAGCAGCTGCTGGTATCGAGACAGGAGAACAAGCAGCAGCAGAAGCAGCACAGAAGCTTACGGAGACACAAGCACCGACTGCAGCAGCACACACAACAGCAACACCAGGACCCGCCGAGCACGCCGAGCCAGCAGCAGCAGAACCCGCAGCAGCAGCAGCTGCACCCGAAACCTCCACAAAGAGCCAGGGCAACGGCCAGATAGCAGCTCTGAAACGCGCCTGCACCAAGCTTCAGCAGCAGCTGCCGCTGCTGCTGCAGCAGAAGCTGGGCACAACTCCTGAAATAATTGAAGTCACACAAGAACAACATGACCTGGCCGTGAGAGAACTTAAGCTTATTGTCGAGTTCATGACCCTCGTTTGGAGGCTTGTCTTTGCAACCAGCCTTGACGGGGACGAATTCGCACAGGTAAACAGAACATACCATCTCCCTTTCAGGGTCAACGAATTAGAGCTAAACGTTCAGAAAAAGGTGCAGTAAACAAACTCCTAGAGTTTATCTCTTAGGAGCGTTTTTTTGTACAATAGGAAGCAGCTTGTTCGATTTTTTGTTTCAAGGATTTAGAGCCACACTCTAGATTTGTGTTTGTGTTTGCTGTATATACTCAGCGCTGGGCTACCTTGGGAGTTCCTGAACTGGCGATAGAGGCTTTGGCTTCTTCTGAGGCCTCCTTCAAAGAAAACGGCCTCGTTTGCTGGGGCTTGGGGGCCCTCCGATTCATTCCGCTAGCTGTTCCCTCCGTGGCTGAGACGTACGTACACTCGAAATCACTTCTATCTGTTGCCTTCGATCGAATGGAACTCTACCACTCAGACCCTCTTGTCCTCGAAAACGGCTTCGCCGTATTGGCCAACTACCAAAGAAAGCAGCCGGCAAACAGCAAGCTCTTCAGCCGCCAAAGGCCTGAGGTGAGATGCGTGAACATAGGGCAAACATAGAGGCGGGCTTGAAAGTTGCAGACTATGACTTATCAAAAAGGGGCATTTGCACATGTTCAGATTTTCCCAAAGGTTAGGCTGTGATAGTGGGCCATTGCATGCGCTACTTTTGTCTGTTCCAGGCTTGGGGCAAGTGTGTCTCTTGGTTGCTGGAGGATGAGTCCTTTTCGCGAATTGATGTTCTCTTCCAAGGACTCTTTGCCCTTGGCCTCGCGTGCAGCTACTGCCCCCTAGCAGCCAAGCGCGTTAGGTGAGGCCCAGAGCTCATTTTAGCAGTTGCTTTCGATGTCATTTCATAAGGAGTTATGTTTGCAGTTGGCGTCAGCTTGCACTTTGGGCAGTTCAAATTCGTTGCTGCAATAGTGCTTGAGGCGCGGTTCGACCTCTTTGTACTCATCTCCTGCTACATGTTTTTATTTCTTTATGTCTCTCTTTATTCTTGTGACTTTCTGTCTTTCTGCATCTTTGCCTCTAGTAATGTGTTTGCCTCTTCCTCCATCTGTATTCCCATTTATCTTCGGCTCTGCGGAGCTCAGGCTGTTTACCGCAAGCCCAGTACATGTAGCTTCCTCAGTGTCGTTTTTCTGTTTCCCTCATGCTTTTACTATTTTCCTTTTAGATCATTTTCTTTCCCTGCCAGACTCTCTTGCCTCCTACACAATGTGAGCACGCCGTGGCTTCTCCACTTTTCGCATGCACTACTGCATGCTGTGGCTTTACATTTCTGCTTCCTGCCTTTTGCGTTTTTTGCAACTCAGGTTGGCTGGAGGCCTCATATTGACTGAGCGCGTGCTGGGGGCCAGCGACGAGCTGCCCAGAGAGCCCTCGAACTCGAGCACAATTGACTGCAAGTTGGCGACACTGCAGCAGTTCGCAGAGGGCCTGCGTCTTCTGCTGCTGCGATCAGACGAAGCAGAAGTAGTAGAGAATGCCGCAGCAGTGCGGGCAGAAGCTGCAGCAACTCTGGCCACAGCGGACGTGCCCACTGACAAGGCTGTTGCCCCCACTGCTGAGGAAAAAGCAGCTCAAGCCGAGCACACAGAAGAGGAGAAAAACAAACTCGCGGAGAAACTTCAGTCTTCGGATAACGCGAAAAAGGCAGAGGCTGTAGAGGCCCTTGTGCAGCATGCTGAAGAGGCTAAAGAGGGCCCTGAAAAAGCCCCTAAGGAACAGCAGGCTTCCCACGAAGCAGCTGAACAAACAAAAAACATTCTCAAGGAGGTGGAAAAGGCCGAAGAGGCAGTTAGCCAAGCCAAGGAGGCAACGGCTGGAGCCGAACACACACTTGCCACAACTAAAGAGGAGGCGCCTAAGACCGAAGCTTGAACGGCCAACAGAAAACGAGCCTCAAAATTTTATGTGAGTTGAATAGACTGGGGATGCACTCACTGAGCATGAAGATTAAAGGGAGGCTGATGGAAATATAAAAGCTGCCTGGGCGATGTCCAATTAGATAGGTAGACAAAAGGAGCGCTGATACAGGCAAACAGATACTCACGCTGCCATGTTGCTCTCTAAAGCTGCAGAAGCACTTCCGAAATGCGCATGCATTTGAAAACCTCAGTTTATTCCCCAATAAATTGGTGGCATCTTGTCAGTTACTTGCCAATTTAACAGTGCATGCGCACGTGACGCCTCTCAGACGGAACGCACTAATCTGTTGTTATTTCTTCGATGTTTTTGTCTGCAGAAAGAGCAATAGCAAGCTGAAGCTGTAAAGCATAAAAAACAGCAAGCCCCCCGGTCTTAACGGGGCATTCTAGAGTACCAGATCTTGAAGTTGTGTACAGCTGGGAAGCGACTGAGGACTTCGACATGCACAGACAGCCACCTGTGCAACATTGAGAAAACTATCTTGTTTATGTTGTGTCCTTGTTTGATCGTGTTTCGTGAATTTCTGGGAGCGGGCAGTTCCAGCTGTTGGTGGAGCTGCTGCAGCTCATGTGTTTGTCTTTGCTGCTGGCTGCCCGGCTGAGTGCGTGGGACTGTTTTGTGAATCCTCTAAAGCTTCTGCCTAGGCAGGGGCACTAGCTTGCTCAGTGAATTTGTGTTGTGTCTTGTGTTGAATGCGCTGGAAGCAGCAAGAAAAGCCCTTTTCAGGTGTATAGGCATCTCAGTCGACCCCTTCCCCAGTCCACTTCAATTTGAACCGTTCGCACTTTCGCCGGTCATTGTGTAATTCAGCCCATAGGGCTTCTGCGGGCCCCACACCCTGTCGTTTGGCTTCTTTGCCGATATACGAAGGCTCAGGAGCTGACAGGCATGCATGTTATCATGCCATGTGTATACTTTGCAAGTGTGCCCACGCCCCAGATCATCACGGCAATTTTAAGCGGAACATTTAACAAGCTATTGCTATATTTAATCACGCTATTCCTATGCAGCTTTTGAATGCGTCTGGACCACATTAGTTCGTCTTAGAATACTGAACTCAGTAAATATATCCCCGAATAACGGCTTAGGATTCAGGTTGAGGCCTCGAGATGCAGCACAGAAATATGCCGCTGGTCTGCCCCTTCTCCCCCGGAAAGTAGCAACTACTGGGTTTGAGCTCCCCGCTGCTTCTGCTCTCGCTGCTGGTGCTGCTGCTGTTGCTGTTGCTGCTGCTGTTGCTCCTGCTGCCGATGCTATCTGGCTTCGCCCAGCAGCTTTCGTGCCTTGGCAGCTCCCTCATCTTTTCCAAGCGCGAAGGCCTCGCAGGCCATACTGCATGGCTCTCTAGAAACGAATACGCGTCAGCAAACCCTCTGCATGGGCCCCCCATAACAGGGCACAGCAGGGGATGAACAGCCAAGCTATTGGGGGGGCGGGCCCCCGAGGTGACCCCAGCCGCGGGCGGGGGGCCCCTGCAGCTGTCGGAGTCTTGCAGACCTGTAGACAAGGAGGCCCCAGAGGCCTCCGCTTCAGCCGTGGCTGCTTGGGGGCCCCATGAGACCCACAAAGGATTGCTTTTGGACAAATTGCTCTCATGGGGGCCCCCCTGGAGGCTCCTCGCAGGGGGCCCTTGGGGGCCCCCCACGAGCTCTTTGGTAGCTGCGACAGGGGCCTCCACAGGGGCCCCCACAGGGGCCTCCACAGGGGCCTCCACGGGGTCCTCCACAGGGGCCCCCATAAGGGTTTCCCTGCTGCTGGTGTTTGAGTTTGGGTGAGGGTAGAGGAGACCTTTGCAGGGGAGTGGGTACAGGACAGCTGGCTGCTGCTGCAGCAGGTGCAGCACAGCCCCTTCGTTTTGCTGCTCGTCATTGCTGCAGCTACTGTACACCAAGAGGCCCCCGGGAGCCAGCAATTCGTAGGCGCGAAGCAGCAGCTCCCTCTGCAGCAGCAGCAGCTCTTCCAGTTCAGTGAGCTGCGAAGAAGAGTCAGCGGGCTCTTCGCGCACTGGCAAATCTGGCGAAGTGAACTCTCTCTGCAGCTGCTGCTGCTGCTGTTGTTGTTGCTGCTGCTGCTGCTGTTGCTGCTGCTGCTGCCGCTGTTTGATTGCTTCGCGAAATCTGGACAGGTGTCTAATGCTCGCGTCGTGCGTGCACTGGACATCGAGCAGCACTCTGTCAAACTGCGCACTTGCTCTAGCTTCGCTTTTGCTGCTGCTGCTGCTGCTGCTGCTTAATGGAGGACCCGCGATTTCGCCCACATTCCTGCTGCTTGTAGATGCCCTGCAGCTATTTCCGCCGTCTTTGCTACTGCTGCTTTGGCTGCAGCTGCTGCTGCTGCTGCTATTGTGCCTGCTGTTATCGCCACCTGCCACTGCCGCTGCTGCTATACCTGCTGCAGCTGGAGTTGCTGCTACCCCTGCTGCTGTCATTGCTGCTTCCAACGGCGTTGCCCTAGTTGTTGTTTCTGGTTCTTCCGACACAGGGCGCCGTTGCATGCATTTGTCATTTCCACTCTTGTTGCAGCAGCTGCTGCTGCTGCTCGTGCTGCTAGTTGCGTTGCTGCTGCTGCTGCTGCTCGTAGTGTTCCTGTTGCCGCTGCTGCTACTCGTTAGAAAGGAGATTAAAGGAACTTCTTGGGCCTCCTTTCTTCTCCTTTCTTTCTTCCTTGCCAGCCTCCCCTTTCCAGGGCTTCTATGTGCTGCAGCACTTGTTGCTGTACTTGCTGCTGCACTTGGTGCTGCGCTTGGTGCTGCACTTGCTGCTGCGCTCGTTGCTGCACTTGGTGCTGAACTTGCTGTTTTGCTTTCTGCTGCTTCTGCATCTGTGGGTGTCCCCTGAGCGCCTTGGCCGCTGCTGCTGCTGCTGCTGCTGCTGCTGCAACTGCAGCAGCTGGTGCTTCCAAATTTGCGGCCGTCACACAAGACAAGCAGGCCGCTGCTGCAGCCATTTTTTCTGAGGAGGCGGCGGCAGACCTCCATTCTCTGAGGGCTGATATCCACGCCTACCACAGCCCCGTTTGCTGCTGCTGCTGCTGCTGCTACTGCTACTGATGCTTCGGGCGCTGTAGCTGCTGCAAGCGTCCGTGCTGCTGGCACTGCTGCTGCTGCTGCTGCGCGCGGAGGGCTCGGCGAAACTGCTGCAGCCAGCAG